GTGCGCTCACGTTCCGCTGCCATGGCAGCAGGGGAGGGGTGGGGTGGTAGGAGCAGTGGTAGCTCCACCAGCAGCGGCTGCCTCAGTCTTCAGTCGATGATGAGTAGCTTTCTTCACCAGCGCAGTGAGGAAACTACTAACCAGCCGCAGCAGCAGCAGCATCAGGTGGACCTGGAGCAGGACCTCAAACAACAGGCTTGGGCCTACTTGGACAGCACCCTGCCAACCGAGGTAGACAATCCCCTTGACTACTGGGCAACGAAACTTGACCTTTGGCCCCAACTAGCTGAATTTGCCCTTGAAAGGCTGTCATGCCCGGACAGTAGCGTGGCATCGGAGCGCGTGTTTAGTGCGGCAGGAGGTATTGCAACTCCGCGGAGGACACGACTGTCCACCCAAAGTGTGGAGAGACTCACGTTTGTGAAAATGAATCAGGCGTGGATTAGTCTGGATTTCAAACCACCAGTTCCTCACACAACTGACTAAATCCGCCATGAATCATGCCCCAAACATGTGCCACTTTCAGGTCTCCTCACACTGCTGGTGTGTTCCATTTTTTGTCATAGGGTGCTGGCAGATTACGGGCCTCCCATAGCTGCTGCCAGGCCCCTAATCTGCCATGGGCCCCTATACCGCCTCCTCATGCTGCTGCCAGGTCCAGAGTCTCTCATGGGTCCCTGTACGGCCTCCCATTGCTGCTGTCTCCATCGCCACACTCTGCCATGTGCCACTTTCAGGTCTCCTCACACTGCTGGTGTGTTCCATTTTTTGTCATAGGGTGCTGGCAGATTACGGGCCTCCCATAGCTGCTGCCAGGCCCCTAATCTGCCATGGGCCCCCGTACCGACTCCTCATGCTGCTGCCAGGCCCGTAATCTGTCATGGGCCCCTGTACCGCCTCCTCATGCTGCTGCCAGGTCCAGAGTGTGTCATGGGTCCCTGTACGGCCTCCCATTGCTGCTGTCTCCATCGCCACACTCTGCCATGTGCCACTTTCAGGTCTCCTCACACTGCTGGTGGTTTCCATTTTTGTCATAGGGTGCTGTATGGCCTCCCATTGCTGCTGCCTCCACCGCCACACTGTGGCTCCACACTCTGGTTTTGGCCCCGTGACTGCCCAAATGAGTGAAGTGTGCGGTGATTCTAAGATCGACGGCACTCATCTGCATGTCATACTGACTGACAGTATTATTTCTCTTCCCCACCAGACTCCAAGGGCATTTAAATTAAAGGTACAGTGTTCTGCACTAATATAAAGGCTCTCTGAAGCCTAGAAACACCCTTTTATAAGTTAAATTCACAGCGAATATATTCGACTCGAATCAAAATTTTTCCACGAATTCGCCGAATCAGTCGAATCGAATTTTTGAATACTTCGCTCATCTCTAATTATGAAGATAAAAAAAACACCAAGAAGAAGCTGCGCGGGCTATCAGAAGTAAAATTTGGAGAAATAAAGCTACAAATGTTCACAGATATTGCCCCAGAGACACTTGCAAGAAGAAGACTCCTAAGACCACTATTGGACCAGATGAAAGAGAAACAAGTCAGTTATAGTTGGGGTTTTCCTGCATGCTTGATCAGGTGGAAGGATGGCAAATCGACAATACTGAGATAACCAAAAGATATGAGAGACTTTTGTGAAGACTAGAACTACAGTTAGTGGACATTAAAGGGTGGTCAGAGGGGTTGAAGGAGAATGTTATTCTAGGAAAAGAGAAATGGCAACGAGTACCTAAAAAGAGATAGTAATAGGAAAATGATGTGGGGGAGATGGCTTTGGGGCACAGAGGGGTGAGGGGAGAGGAGGAAGCGTGGGGCTGAACTTTCAGACATGCGTTTCTCTCTATCTCCCCTTTCCTTTTTTTTTTCTCTCTGTACAAGATTTCCCTCATCCACCTCATCAACATCCTGAGTGAAAGAATAAATCTTGGACAGGGTGCAGGGTTGAGGGTAATTTTTTTTTCAATGTATGGCGGGTTGTCAGGAGGCCAAACACGCTGCCGAATTTTTGACCCAGGATGAAATACAGAGGAATGATTGGGTGTGTGTGTCTCTAGCCCCACCCTAGGATAGGAACCGAAGGTGATAATAACTCACAACCGATTCCAAGGCAAAGAGTAGGCCAGTGGAGTTTTAAAGAGGGGAATGTTGGGGTGAGGAAGGGAGGTGGGGAGGGAGGAGGAGGAAGGGGGAGGGAGGAAAGAATCTTAGTAGTAGGTGTCTTCTGGTTCAAAAAAGATACAGGTAAACCCAATAAAAAGGGTACAGAGATGAGAATAGATAAAGAAGAAAGAATAAATAGGATCAATCTTATGGCATATAATGTAAACGGTTTGAACACCTCAATAGAAAGGTATAAGATATTAAGAGAAATATATCAACGCTCTATCGAAGTGGTGTTTCTCCAAGAGACATATATAACCCAAGATACAAATGTGAAACTACACTCTAAATATTTCCCAACCTGGTATTATGCGGATTCACCAATAAGACTGGCAAAAGGAGTAGCAATCGGGTTTGGGAGGAATATAAGATTTATGGTTGAAGAATGTTTGGTGGACCCTGAGGGTCGGTTTTTATTTCTGACAGGAAACCTGCAGGGTATGGAGTGTACTTTGGCAAATATTTACTGTCCTAATAAAAATCCAATGGTATACCTGTAAGGGATGTTAAGGAAACTTATAAACTTTAAGAAGGGATGTCTGATTGTGGCAGGAGACTTCAATTTTTGCACGGACCCAGAGATGGATGCGACATCGGGTGTCCGAGGAGGGGGGCAGGAGTCTAAAGATTTTCAAAAAGCTCTTGCATCAATATAAACTGATAGATGCTTGGAGAGTAAAACACCCTAGAGAAAGAGACTATACCTTCTTCTCCTCGGCACATAAGATATATTCATGATTGGATTATATAATGATTGGACACAGACTTTTGGAGTCTCTGGAGAAAGCAAGCATAGAAATGATGTCTTTGTCAGGCCATGCTCCTTTCACAGTGAGACTATGAAACTACGGATTGGAAGTGAGCAGAACAGAATGAATATGTGGCGATTAAATGAGATTTCCTTACAAGATCAGGAAACTGAAAAAAAAAATTAAAAGAGGACATTGAACAATATTTTAGGTTAAATGAGAATGAAGAAGTGTCTGCGGCGACAGTGTGGGAAGCACATAAGGCCTACATTAGGGGAATTTTGATATTGATCGGGGCAGAAAAAGAAAAAAAAGAACGAGGGAAGAAAATTAGGACAATAATGGAAGAATTATATAAGATGGAACAATAAAAAGAAAATAGATAAAGATGTACAGCATGAGATAACTAAGAAGAGAGATGAGTTAAAAGACCTTATGGAACAAGAAAATAGGAAGATTTTCAATGGGATGTCGAAAGACAGAAATTGGTGGGGGAGCAAACCAGGGAAATATTTAATGAGGAAGTTAGGGGAGAAGAAAACAAAGAATTTTTAAAAAATTAAAGGTGAAAAAGGAGATATGGTTTGCTCAACCACAGACATTGCTGAGACATTCCATAAATATTACAGTAGCCTATATGTAGCAAAACATAAGAACCAAAAAGAAACAGAGGAAGAAATAAAGGTGAAAAGGCAGAAATATTTAAATGATGCTGGCTTACCCAAATTGGATGAAGCTAGACTAACAGCTTTAGAAAGTTTAATCTCGCAAGAGGAAATAAGTTTAGCATTAAAAAGCACTGCAGATGGCAAGAGCCCAGGGCCAGATGGCTTTACAATTAGATATTATAGGAAATTTAGAGAACAACTAGTCCCCAAAATGTGAAAATATATGAACGCATTGGAAAATGAAACAAAGATGAAGGAGGAGTCATTAAAAGCATATATCAGTTATACCAAAGAAGGGGAAAGATGGATCTCAGTGTACCAGTTATAGACCTATATCTTTGTTAAATGTTGATACAAAATTATACGCAAAGGTATTAGCAACTAGGCTGAAAGAACTGATGCTGGATTGGATACATTTAGATCAAGTAGGATTTATTCTGGGTAGAGAAGGAAGGGACAACGGATTAAGATTATTGCGCCTCCTGCAGAAAAGCAAATAAGGTAAGGTCCCTGGGGTCATTCTATCGATTAATGCCAAAAAGGCCTTTGATAGAGTTGACTGTGGATTTGTGATAGAGACACTGGAGACCCTGGGAATTGGGCCCAGAATGTTAAACTGGATTAAAGAATTATATAGAAGCCCATCAGCTTCTGTGAAGGTTAATGGCTCACTGTCAAATGGAACAAGACAGGGATGCCCACTTTCTCCCCTTTTGTTTGTAGTATCATTGGATCCGTTGTTGGCTATGGTGAGAAGGAGTGTAGATGTTAGAGGAATGTGGATAGGAGATGTGGAACATAAAGTTGCAGCCTATGCAGATGACATGTTGTTTTATATAACAAACCTTAGACTAGCATTACCTAATTTAATGAAAATATTAAAAGAATATGGAGAGTTTTCTAATTTGAAAATTAATCCATCAGAGTCAGAAATACTAAATAGTAATGTCTCAAAAAAGGAGAAACTAATTCTTCAAAAAGAGTTCCCTTTCACATGGAGAGAAAAATAACTAAAATATTTGGAAATAAAATTAACCCCGTCTCTAAAAAAAATCTATATCAGGCTAATTATATCCCACTAATAAATTAAACAAAGGATTGGTGGGAGATAATTCAATATATCCAGGAGATACTAAAGATTAGTATACCGCTAGACCCGGGGATGTGTCTTTTCACATAACTGAGATCTCCATGAAGCTCTATAAGAACATGATATTGTAGCCATTTAATAAATGCGGCCAGAGGCCTTATTACTAAATTCTGGAAAGAAATAGAGCCCCCCAAAATAAAAGACTGGATAACTAGAGTGGAGTACATACATAAGATGGAAGAATCATACCATATGGATGAGGACAAAAATGAAAAATGTTAAAAGACCTGGGTTAGGTGGTATGATTTTATGATTTTAAAAGATCAAAAAGATATTTAAAAGATGTTGGAGAGTAAAGAAAGTGAAGCTATAGAAATAATAATATGGAGTAGGATAGGAGAGAAGGAACAAGGATAAGAGAATGGATAAGCTTAGTATGAGGATACCAGAAGACTAAGAAGTAAATGAAAAGTAGAGGAGGTAATGGGGGGGTAGGGGATAAATGTAAGAAGAAAGTGCATTATATGATGTTTCGTTTTTTAAAGTGGATTTTGTATTAAGGAAAAATTAATACAGATATAATTTAAAAAAAATATTAATAAAAATCATCAGTAAATGTTCTTCTACTATGACCCTTTTTGAAGTGCGTTGGTGGTAAAATTTTCTCTTGACTCAAACATGTGTTTTAACACAAATAAAAAATATTCTAGTCATAGTAAAAAGCAAATTTGAACATCTGCAGTTAAAATTAAGGCATGAAAAAGTGCTAAGCCATTCAAGGGATATTGTCACATACAGTAAGTGATAAAAGGCACTGTAAATTGGGGCGTGGTCTGGCTGCAGCCCAAGATGGCCACCTAGCTTCCTTGCTCTGAACCAACTGGGGCACAACGGCAACTACAGAGCATCAGTGCCCACACCGACCACCTCCTAAACGGAGGTACTAGCTCCGGAGACCCTTCTGGACATGTCCAGAAAATAAAAGTCGCTACAGACCCAGGAAACTGCAAGATTTCTTTATGAAGCCGCCTCACAGATCCATCCAATATGGCGCCGGCAGAACCACTTCACAGACATGCTGGCAGAAACACACTCATTGACAATGTTGAAGATAATGCACGAGGAGACCCTGAGCTGGCTCAGAACACCATGGAGAGAGGTAAGAGAGCTTCAGAATCACCTCCTTGCTCCCCAGCTAAATCCCCTGCATATAAAAAACAACATGGGACAGATAGTGAACAAATATTATTGTGTCTACTGCTGATCTAATTACACTCAGGTGTTGCTCATATGTGTATCTCATTTACGACTTATCAACAATCTAACCCTGACTGCTCAAAAGGTGGACTGTCTAGTCTCTGCTCCGTACTAGAGTAAACGCTTACCCTCACACACCAACATGTCTCTAACTATCACTACTATCAATGCTAAAGGCCTTAATCACCCATATAAATGCTCCCTACTATGTAAAGAAGCTATATCTCAACACGAGGACGTTCTTTGCGTTCAGGAAACCCACTTTGCTAAACAGAAAGTGCCAGCTTTCTCCCACAGACAATACCCCCATTGCTTCTTTGCACATT